GTTCTTTCATTTTTATCTAAAAAAATTGACAATTTCTAGGTCATCACTTCACGTTTCTAAAAAATACTCCGTCCACCTTAGGGCAGTTACTGACAAGGAACTTGCGATTTTTTATGACTCGCTTGGGAAAAGGGAACTTATTTTTTTGGTATGTAGGCGAGGCAATCTAATGCACTTTGTTATGTACGTGTCTACTGCTAATACATACTTATATACATATTTATGGATGCATGTATGTACAACCGAAACCGGTTTGTCTCCAAACCAAATTTGGCAAGGAATGACGGAAACTCGTCCCAAAATACATATACCATACCAATTTTATATATTTTTTTTTATTTTACTCAAAATCTGATAATTTTTTGCGCATGCATCATTTTATTTGGTTTAAATTAACAACACATTCCCTGTTTTTCTTTTATTCAAACTGGAAAAAGTTTAATTATTTATAAGTACAGTAAGTAAAACTATTTAACAAACCAACTTTTTTCTCATAAATATGTCGCTCATTCACAAGAAGACCGTCCTAACTAAGAAAACATATTTTCCATTAAACGCATTAGTTTTAATTGACTGCTACCTTACAGAAAAAAGGAGAATTCTTATAATTTCGAAATTTATCATTATTATTGGGAAAGGAACCAATTCAATCAATCAATTTTTGTCACATTGCGGTTTCTGCTTGACTGAAGTCAATCTCTTCGTCAAGTTATTTAATTTTATGATAAAATCTCAAAAAGTCTAAAATTGATTAATTGGATTGAAAAAGTAACATTTTATAGAAAACTGTACCAAAGTACTATTGATAAGAAAATGTGCCACTTTTGGTACCAAAATACCAAGTGTGGCAACCGTGCTCGTATTTGTATAACCAATGCGATCATTGACAAATATTAGATGTCGCATTTGTGTTGTGAAACGAAAGTGAATCTGAAATGCAGCAGCAACGTGAATGAAAAGTTTTGTCGTTGCACGAATGTGAAATAGCTGTGTAGCTATTGTGTATTAGGTCTTAATATCAAACCGTTATATGTAATATGTTTTTGCATATATATATATACAAAAGTAAATATGTGTGTATGTATTATATATAAATGTACATTCGCATAGACACATAAACAAGTCGACGACTGCAACGACAAATGTTTTATATGGGAAATAGTATCGGCGAAAACATCTGCACTGGCATGGACAGAAAACATGTGTATCATTGTTTATATAGTAAATTTATAAGGTAAAATAATTAGTTAATTATGAAGCGATCTTATATCTAAACTTAAAAAATTTGTAGAACCATGCACAGCATCGTCTAAATTTTGACGTTTTTAATCTGAATTATTAGAAAAATGTTGAGTACGCAGATATATCGGTTTTTTAATTCTAACAATATCAAGATTTAAGCGGCTAAAAAATCGCTTTGATTTTGAAAAACATTGCAAATATTAAACAAAAATAACCATGCGCTCACTTTTGATTGCCAGTGTATGCCAACTTTAAATTTTCTAGTGTAACCCATACAGGGTGCTCAATGTCCTTGAACTGCGATACTGAATCGCTGTGAAGCTGGCAAAAATATTGGTGACTTTTATAAAAAGCTACTGTTGCCATGACAACTGAAACTTGCGATATTTTTAAAATTATTTTAATTTGAAATATTCTTAGTTTGCTTAACTAATTGTTTGATTAGTATATGTACATACACAATACTTCTAGAGTAAAATATGAATATCATGAGCATCCTCTAAACGTAAAGTTTGGTACCAGCATCTCTTTCGGCAAGAGGAAAAATTTTGGAAGGTGCCCCAAACGCTATCTCAGAAAATTTTTTTTTGGACTACTGTAATGTACGTGGCACAAGTCCCTTTGTTTTTAAATCGATATATTTACGTAAGGGTTTGCGTTTTAGCACGTTTAGAAATATTGATTCTAACTTTCGAAAACATTTGCATGTATTTGTTATCTTGGGATACCTACACTGCCGGAACAAAGTATTGGCGCAGCAAATTTTTCAGAACATATGCAACAGTTTTCATTCTAATATTTTTTCGCTAATTTCAAATAAAAAATATAGTTAATTCTACAACAAAAAACATAAAAATATAATTCCTAAACTTTCTGCAAAACTCGCTAAAATTCAGCAAATTTTCATGAAAGTTTTCAAATTTTTAATCAGATCTTTTAGAATTTTTTTGAGTATGCAGATTTGTAGCCCAATCAATTTTATTACAATAAGTTTTAAGTAGCTAAGAATTACCTTTGATTTTTGGCAATTTTTTTCACGCCTTCTCCCATACAAAATTTTTTTTTTCGAAAATACTTCATATGGAAAAAATGCAAAACACCTTCAACAAAAAAATTCTCAAAAATTTACGCGCTTTTTGACTAACTCCGAACTTGCATTTTGTTTCCTAGAATTTAATGCAAAACTGCATACTCGAAAAAATTCTAAAAAATCTGATTAAAAAGTTGAAAATTTTGATGAAAATTTGCTGAATTTTCGCGAGTTTTGCACAAATTGTTCCAAATTGAACTGTGTGAACGGGTGTGACAAGTTGGGCAAAAATAAAGAAATACACATTATTAGACTATTAAACGAACTTTATTTCTCAAAATAAGTAATCGGATTTTACAAACACACAGAAGCTGGTGCCACCTAAAGACGGCATAATCCTTGGCCGGACACTTCATCTCCACTGTTTCTTTGAAATTTCAAAGACATGATTATGTAGTTCTAAAACTTATTTACAAAATTCAGTGCAATTTACGATAAAAATATGGGTACTAAATGAAAGAAAATATTCTTTAGAATTTAAAAATATTTTTTTTTTGTTTGGTTCACAAGGACGAATTGATATTGAAAACGCCCTTTTAATTTTTTTTTTCGCTATTGGAATATAAGGCAGAAATTCGAGGTCGTGTGAATATAAATATTTAACCTATAATTTTTTCAAAAATAAAAATTGCGAATTCGCAAGGATACTTAAGGACAAAATTTTAAAATTACTTTCAATACCTATTCGACCTTATACACCAAAAAATTAATATTTTTCAATTCTACAGAATTTTATCTTTTATATGGTACTCATATTGTTATTCTATATAGCACTGAATTTTTTAAATAATTTTTGGAACTAATTAAATCTTTAAAATTTTAAAGTTATTTTAAAATAATCCTGACGCCCGCGAAAGAAACTAAAAACGCAGTTTTACTATATTTGGCTCCTAGTTTTGGGAATATATATATTATTTTTTTTTTGCAAAATTGACTTGCTCAGTGTAATCCATGTTATCATTCACTTAATTTTTTGCGTGACTTATGCCACTTCTGTCGAACAAGACCTCAGTAGTTGTTAATATTTCAATGCAATATTTTTTTTAATAAACAGATACCGTTAAATTCTAATTGGTGTTATCATTAAAGCTCGGAACACTTTGACGACTGCAACTTCACGACGTAACGACAGCGACATCATTTTGTCGACAAATGTCGCCTTGAAGCCAGCTTCTTAAACATTTTGAAGACCTCAGCGACATAGCAAACAGCTGATTTTAAAGTTTGACATTTTGGTATATTTATTTCACAAATTGTGTATTTTTATTTAAGTAAATAAGAAAAACATGAACAATCAAGAATATGTGATTAATTTTGCGACAATTTAATTTTGCAGCACTACATCTACTCATTGTCGCCGGCAAAATTAGAAATAGATTTAATTTGGCGACGTCGACAATTGCAGTCCTGCAGCCAAGATGTCGTGCTGTCGTCAAAATAATTGTGTCCGTAAGAACGTGTGTATTTAAAATTTGACAGATGCTGCTTGTCGCTTGCTGTCGTCAAAGTGTTCCGAGCTTAACCCGATTTTTTGAAAAGGTAAACGTCGTAATCGAATTGGATTCCGGGCTGGATAAATGAAACACGCAACATAGTTTTTTTTTTTGTAAATTTAATTCAGTAAAAAAAAAAGTTATTATAATTTTTCATGCTAAAAAGCCTTTTCTTGTGAGCATCATAGTCTCTCTCACATTCCTTTGCAAATTATTTACAGAAATTTATTTTTTTCTGGATGTAACTGATCGATACAACATTTTTAATGGCGATGCATTGCATTGAAAGTTTTTTTTTTGTTCCTTACACACAAATCGTTTGATTAACACGACCTTGAAATCTATGTACGATTAAATTTGCGTTGCTAATCGATACAGCCTTAATTCCCAAACAGCTGACGCTTCTTACCAATTTGATAGCATTTGATTGTATACAAATCTTGTTTATTGGAATTTCGGTTTCTCTTTCGACTGGATTTTCACGTATTTTTTCAAGCACTCAGATAACTGTCTGGTCAGCGTTCACCGATAATGCTATTATGTAGATTTTATTCAAATAAAACAAAAATTATAGAAATCGCCGAACGAGCAGAAATAATTTTTTGTGAAGAGTCACATACATACATACATACATACTTATTTACATATGTACGAGCACTCAAGACAATGCGCTAATAAAAGAAACTTTTTCGTTTACGCACAAGACCTTCGATAGCTCAGTTGGTAGAGCGGTGGACTGTAGAGTGATTTGCAAACAAGTGTGTAGATATCCATAGGTCGCTGGTTCAAATCCGGCTCGAAGGATACAGTAAATATTTTCTATTACTCGACTTTTTTATTGTTTTTTAGAATCTATTAAATCGTCCTCAAAAAAGCTATAAACTTTATGAATTTTAATCAAACTATTCGATCACTAAAATCTTATAAATTGTGAGCCAAAATATGTAATGTATCAACTTTTATAAATTGACACCCAAATTCATAAACAGTAAAGAAGACTTTAACCGCTTTATAAATCGAAAATTTGTATGAAAATGTCTCTTTACGAAGCTCTTGAAATGTATATTACTTTTTATGAATGAGGTCACAAATTTTTAAATTTGTAAATTTTGTATTTTTAATCTATGCGATAGCGCGATTTACTGCTAAGCGAAACTGCGCTGCACTTCCACATGCCTTCGATAGCTCAGTTGGTAGAGTAATTGACAATCAAGTGTAGCTATCCATAGGTCGCTGGTTCAAATCCGGCTCGAAGGAATAAAGTACTTTCTTTTGCTGAAATATTGTGGAAAGTTGATAAAAAATATTATGTGTAGATTAATTGTTCGTCCTACAAAGTGGAAAAGAGTACCTACCACCTGGACTGCAATTTCTAAAAACCCATGCTTTACATTATTATTTTTAAATGCAATTTTCAATTTCGCATATTTTTTAATGATAATAAGAGTAGCATGTATGTATTTACGCTGTTTAAAACTACTAAAAATTTGCCTCATTCGAGCCGGATTTGAACCAGCGACCTATAGATAGCTACACTTTCTTCACTTTCACAGTCCACCGCTCTACTAACTAAGCTATCGAAGGTATGAATAAAGCAATGTATTTTGGCATCAACGAAGTTCAAAAATAAAACAATCGTAGTCCGTTTTGCGTAAAATCTACAAAAATGCAGTCACACGTTCCGAATTGCTAGATATGAACGGATGAATGCCCATACATACATACATATGTATGTATGTACGTATACATATATATGTATGTACATACATATATATGTATGTACATACATATATATTTCAAAGTATGCATATATGCTATGTTCAAAGCTATTCGAATTCAGTTATAGTAATGGATTTCACAAAAAATCGGTCTACGATGGATTCAGTGATAGCCCAGATTTTATTTGAGAATTTTGCTTGTTGACGCCAAAACATATCATTTGATTCATACCTTCGATAGCTCAGTTGGTAGAGCGGTGGACTGTAGAGTAATTGAGAAGCAAGCAATAGCTATCCATAGGTCGCTGGTTCAAATCCGGCTCGAAGGAGGCAAATTTTTTATTAATTTTAAAAGTAGTAATGCTAACTACTCGTATATAGATAAATGTTTTTTTTTTTTTAATAATTTAAAGATCATAATTGACGTTGGCATTAGCTATTTATAAGCCAGACAAATCCCAAATATAAGTTGGAGTATTGCTCACATTATTCAGAATGCTCTTTAAAATATATTATATTATGTATGTGTCCATATATATACAAGCTATTTTGGGGGATGATCTTAACGTCTTAATAACAATAAAAAAAAGTAAATGAAAGAAAAACGGCTGAAAATTTAGCATTCAGCTGCTATCAAACCCTTAATTTGCTTTTCTTAGACAAAAATTGATTACACTGGTTTACAGCAAAAATATTCTTTGGATGCAATTATCCAATTCCTATGTAGGATATAGCTCGCTGATTCCGAAAATCGAGTTATTTTTTTTCTATGGTTACGTTTTCGTGATATTTGAAATTTACCGTTATTCAGCTTAAAGCAAAAATTCGATGGATAAATACGAAATAATGAGTGGTCAAATAAAAATGCGCAAGATTATTATTTGATTTGTGGAAAGTTGTGAAATTTTAAGAGAAAGCAAATGCTCAGTTCTTATGAAAACGGTCATGGGCTTTGCGGCAGCTCTGAATATATTTTTTTTAACGAAAAACCAAAAAATCGTAGGGAGTGAGAGCCTAACATTTAAAATTTTTTTTTTGTTTTACCACCCTAATGTGCTTACGTATGTGTGTACTTAATTAATATCTAATCATTCAACTGTTAAGTGTATAGCTGGTATCTATATTTTATTATTCATATTTTTCTTAGCATTCCTAACTCTAGAATTATTCATTATTTCAGTATACTATATATACACCTTTCTTGAGTCTATCGGCCATTGCCAGCCGCTTGGTGGAAGCATTGACACCACACTCAGTGACACTGGATACCCACTGCTCCACTACGAGAACGAGAGCGTTGCCATTGCCACTACTCGTATTCCAGCATACCTTGCACATCCAAATGCTTATACTACGTGTGCCCATATATACTATATGTATACAACGATGTATACACATAATTGTATATACTACCACTTTGAATATACTGAGTGCTTCGTTCGTCTCGATTACTACGATTGTGGCGGCTACGCCATTTACGGTTGTAATCGGTGTCGCCGCATTTAGTCAACTACAGTTGCTTCTCGGTCGCGTGACGGTCGCTTCGTAACTAAAGCACATAGTTTTGGCTATTTTTTTTTAAATAAATCGAATATATGTATATATTTTTCTTCTGATTTGAATACACACGTTATCATCTCTTATGGAGAACTGTTTCGAATCTTTATTGCAAGTTTTTATACGCACATCCCAGTATCGGCGTAATAATTTTGGTTTGGGGTAGGTCGGTTTCAGTATTATAGTATATAGTAAGTACGTTTTTATTTACTTGCATCTATTTTAATCGGCTAAAAGAAAGAAAAAAAATCGTATTTAATACGCGTAGGTGGTTTGATTATAAAAATATTAAAATGTGAAATGCATCTAATACACAACTAAGAGGAAACGTTTTCTTCTGCGTCGTCCACACGGGAGTCGCTTTATTAAGCACATAAAGCATATAATATGTATATATTTTTGTATATCTACATATGTGTACATATATGTATATGTATACATGTAAAAACGCTTATTTCCCTATTTCGTCCTGTCACTGTTTTGGCCGCATGCTCACGTTCGCCGCACAACCATGCTGGATACAGACTACAATTTTCATGCGGGATCTCTGTACATACTTGTCTGTACTTTTTCCGTAGCTTTGATAAT